AAAAAAATTTATTAAAAATTGTTTTTATGTAAATAATTGAACTATTGCAAAGAAATTCATGAATAATTTGTAAATAATTGAATTCCAGGCAAATTTTTATTATTTGTGTAGAATTTTATTAGAATTTGGTTTTAGATAATTGAATTCTTTTGAAAAATTTCAGAAATAGTAACTTTAGGAAGTGTACAAATTTTGTCCTTACCTTCTTGTTTCACAGTATTATTCAAACTATTTTTTACAAATAGAATTCTATTTCTTATTATTGAGTGTTTGTTAATTGGTAGCATAGCAACTGTAAATTTTCGAAAAAAAAAACTCATTTTTCCTATTGATTTTCCACCCGATCAAGTTCAAAGATATTCATTACAAAAAGAAAATTACAATAATGTAAATAGAAAAAAAAATTCTACGGTCACTAAATTTAAGGTTCATGAGAATATTATTTTTTGGATTCAAAAGATGTTGAAGAACTATAAAAATAAGAAGACTACGAAAAATAGTCCTTCTATTCTGGGGATGATTCTCCTTCTCTCGTGGTCGATTAAAAATGAGACGACGGCAGGATGACGGATATTGCTTCACGGATCGACGAATTCTTGGAGTTTTGAGTTTTAGAGAGGAAATGGAGAAGAGGATGAAGGGTGAAAAAAGGGGGGAGGGAGATAAAAAGGACACAAAGCGAAAGGCCTTTGTCCTCCAAAAACCAAGAGATTCGCATCGAATCAGTCACCGGAACTCGATTTTAAGATCTCATTCTATTCCTCTCGAAGAGATTCACCTCTAGAAAAAAAGAAGAATAAAAAAAGAAAAAGGAATAAAAAAAATTCGTCCTTTTTCGATTTCCGTCATTCTCTGTCTGTCTCTATCTCTCTCTCGATTATTGAAAGATTCTATAAAGTCAGACAACGAATCAATTTCCTCAAGGTTCTTTTTTCTCCCTTCTGTATTTAATCTCTCTTTCGAATTTGTTTCATTCAGTTCTGTGTATATTATTTTTTCTATAAAAATACTATTTTTTCTATCAATTTCTATTTTTAATATAAAAATACTATTTTTTCTATCAATTTCTATTTTTAATATAAAAATACTATTTTTTCTATAAATTTCTATTTTTTCTATAAAAATACTATTTTTTCAATAAAAATACTATTTTTTGTATAAATTACTATTTTTTTTATAAAAGGGGCCTTTCGAAAAGTACGTAAAGAAATTCTCCACCTGAGAACGCCAAGGTCACCACTAGATGGCACTTTAGTTCCTTCTTGGAATTTCTCTTGCCACCTGGCGGTGACCTTGGCGTTCTCAGGTGGAGAAATTCAACCACCATTTTATCAAATAATTTTTTTTTTTGCAATTAAAAAATGTTATTTTGAGAATAATTTAATTTTTCTTTCAGTGTATTTCTGTATTTTGCGGCGCATGAATATCCTATAAAAATAATTAGTCAGAATATTCATTAGGCAGAATTTTATTAGAATGAATTTTCAAATAGCTGAATATATTATATTATAATTTCGATTATAAATTAACGCGAATTTATATACTTGAGGAAAATTTTACATAATAGAATATTAGGTCACGAAATTATTATTAAACAGATTATTTGATAAAATTTTCACTAACTACTTTTAAATTAAATTTGATAAATTTTAAAAATTTGATAAATTTTATTTAAAAGGAATCTAATCAATTCAATTGAAAACTTCGACTCAGTGGAATTTTGTTAATTAAAAGATTTCTGCTGAATTAAAATCTCGATTAAAATTAGATTTTACTAGTCTTCTTTAAAAATAAGAAGATTGTTGATTAAAAATAAATGAAATTTTTTGCCAAATATTAATATTTTCAAAAATTAGTCACTAAGAAAGAAAAAAAATAATTAAAAATATTGAATAAAAATAATTAAAAATGTTGAATTATAAAGATTCTAAAATTTTTATAATTTAATATTTTTAATAAACGTGAGGCAATAATTTGAATTTCAAAGAAGAAAGAAACAAATTTCGTTCGTACAGCTTTTTTTGGGGATTATTAAAAAAATTTTTTCCCGTGGCGATCGCTTCCGGTTCAATTTTTTTTTCAACTTTCGAGGGCATCTGTCAACTTGAAACTATAATTCGAAGGGAAGTCTAGCATTTGGACTATTAAGATTTGAGGAGATTTAGACTCATCACGACACCTGGCTTGCGTGGTTGAATCGTTAAAAGATTGTGGTGGTGGTTTTTGTCTCGAGAAAGTGAATTCAGCCTTTGGTGGTTTTCGAAATCCTTTTTTTTTCTCTCTCTCTCCTCTTCCCTTTTTTTATCTCGTAATCCTCTTTCCCACAAATAATAATGAGAACTTGAAACGAGATTTTAGTTTTTCTAGAGTCTTGACAAATTTTGTAAATTGAGAACATCCTGGCTTGATATTTCTTTTTTCTTTCCTTCTTCTATATTTTTTGTGCTTCTTTCTTCTTTTTTTTATTTTTTTGAATAATTTTAATAATTCAATTTCGTCGGAAATTGGTTAAATTTTTTAATTTGTGTTTAATTAATTATTAAAAATAATGGATTTATAGAAGAATTTTAGTTCGAAACTCTAAAAAAATAATTAAATTTTGGAGAAGTTAGAAATGATTGCAGAAATTCAATTATTTTCAAAAGTAATAAAATTCTTCGCAGAAATTAAAAAAAAAAAAAATTTAAGAAAATTTTTGCCAAAATTTCAATTATTTTTATAAATAATAAAATTCTTCTCCGAAATTCAATTATTTTCAAAAATTTAAATAAAATTATTCTTGGCAAATTTTCAAATATTTTCAAGAATTTTAATCAAATTCTTTGCAAAATTCAATTATTTTCAGAAATTTCAATAAAATTCTTTGAAAAATTCAATTACTTTTGTAAATGACAATATTCATCACAAGAATTCAACTATTTTTAAAAGTAATAAAATTCTTCGGAGAAATTCGACTATTTTGAAAGTCTTTTTAAAAAATTCTCATTTAGATTTCAATTATCTTTAAAAATAACAAAATTCTTCGACGAAATAAAATTATTTTTCATAAATAATAAAACTTATCTCAAGAATTTATTTAACTTTAAGAATTTTAATAAAAGTCTTTGCAAAATTTAATTATTTTCATACATAACAATATTCATCACAAGAATTCAATTATTATCAAAAAAAAAATTTTCAATTCTCGTCAAGAATTCAATTATCTTTATAAATAGCAAAATTCTTCGGTTGAAATTAAATGATGTTTATAAATAACAATATTTATCACAAAAATTTAATTTTTTTCAAAACTTATAAAAAATTTCTTTACAAAATTCAATTATTTTCAATAGGAATAAAATTATTCGCATAAATTCAATTATTTTCAATTTTTTCTAAAATTCTAGTAAAGAAATTCAATTATCTTAATAAACAGCAAAATTTTTCTCAAAAATTCAATTATTTTCAAAAAATGGAATAAACTTCTTGTCAAAATTCAATTATTATCATAGGAATTTTAATAAAATTCTTTGCAATAGTCAATTATTTTAATAAATAACAATTATTTATTACAAAAATTCAATTATTTTTAATTTAATAATAAAATTCTTCGCATAAATTCAATTATTTTCAAATTTTTTTTTAAATTGTCGTAAATTTATTTCAATTATCTTTATAAAGATAATTTTTTATAGCAAAATTTTTCTCATAAATTCAATTATTTTCAAAAAATTCAATAAAAAATTCTTGGCAAAATTTCAATTATTTTCAAAAAAATTTTCGCAATACAATGAATTTGCAATATCTATTGTTTTCGTAACCGAAAAGAATTTAATTATTTAAAAAGAAATTTAGTAAAGTTTTACGCAAATATTCCACTATTTTTATAAATAATAAAAATTCAAGTATTTTTTTTAAAAATTTTAATAAAATTCAATTATGTTCATTAATAATAAAACTTTTTGCAGAGTTTCAATTATTTTTATTACAATAAATTTTAATCAAAATCCTCGAAAAATGCAATTATGCTTAAAAATTTTATTAAAATTTATAAAATTTAATTATTTTTTTTTAAATTTTTGATGAAATTCTTTATGAGAATTCAATTTTAAGAAACATTCAATTATTGAATAAATTATTTTTGTATTCAAATAATTGAATTCTCTTAGAGTTTTCGAATAAAAATATTGATTTAGAAATGAATTTTAATTAAAATTTTAAGTAATTATTGAATTTTAAATGTATTATAAATAATGTTAATTTTTAAAAATAATTAAATTTTGAGAAGTTTTCTAATTAAAATCTTTGAAAATTTTAAATTTTTCATATTTTTAACTATAAAATTATGTATAATTAATTTTTTTTTTAAAGTTTAATTAAATTTTTGTGTCAACCCTGTTCTTTTTCCTTCTTTCTTTCTTTCTTTCCTCTTCTTTTTGTTTTTTCTTTCTTCTTCTTTTCTTCCTTCTTTGTTTTTTCTTTTTTTATACTTTCTTCCTTCTTTCCTCTTCTTTCTGCTTTTTCTTCCTTCTTTTTTTCTTCTTTTTTCTACTTTCTTCCTTCTTTCTTTCTTCTCTATTTTTTTCTTCTTTTTTTTCCTTCTTTCTTCTTTCGAGAGAGGAAAGTAAAAGAGCGATAGAAAAAAAGAAGAGAGGGAGAGAGAGTGATAGAGAAAAAGAGAGAGAGAAAGAGTGATAGAAAAAGAGAAAAAGATAAGAAGGACGATAAAGAAAAAAAGAGGAAGAGAGGAAGAGAGAGAAAGAAGAAGAGTCTTTTGGATATAGTCATTATGAATATGACCGCAATTTCCAAAAGCCGAATTTTTCAAGATTAGGGTCCCTCCTGATATACATTAGAAGTAATGCGAGAACCGGAGCTATTATTTATAATATCCGCATGTTGCGGAGAATAAATGTCTGTGTGTGGAGGAAATTTACATAATTTTTTCTCTCAAACGATAATTATAATGATTTGAAATGAAATTGAATGTTTTTGTTATACAAGTACATTCTCTTTTTCAGATACGCAACAATTTTGGCTTTCGATGTGAAGATAGAGAGAGACGCCCAGGAATTAGCGGATTCCATTGGCGTCAAGATATTCCAAGCAGACATCATCTACCATCTTTTCGACAAGTTCACCGCCTACAGGGAGGAGCTCAAGCAACGAAAACGTGACGAACACAAACACATTGCCGTCTTCCCTTGCAAGTTGAAAATTCTTCCACAAGTGAGTAGATCCTTTTTTTTATAAAAATGGGTTAAAGTTGAAATTTAATTGATCAAAACTTTTGACTAAAATGCCAAACTCCTGAATTTTGCGTTTTTAAAAATTATATGCAAATTATTTTCGTTGTGAAAGCATTTATTTAAGGATTTTTTCTGCAGATATCAAAAAACGTATCAAAATTTGTTGCAATGCAACAAGCATTGCAACAAATTTTGTTTTTTTTTGTTGCAATTTGATATCTGCAGAAAATTTGTGAAAGAAATGAAAGAAATTTGTCGACGCCAACTTGTATTTTCTGTCGTTTTTCTCGCAATAATTTTCTCCCTTGGATGAAATAAAATTGAAAAATGATGATTGTAATTCGATAAGGAAAGAAGTTAGATGATAAAGTCGATGAGAAAAAAAAACAGGGTTTTGCTTTGGGTATTAGTATAAAGATTCGATCAAAACAGGAACTCATTGATAAACTTTAATCGCAGAGCAGATCGCTATAATTTGTACGCAGCTTATCTTGTTGATTAATGTGATGAAGAGCAGTTAGCAAAAGCAGTTCATTCTTCATTGCGCCAGGAAATTGATCCAGCCTCAGTTCTTCAAGATAAATACTTAATAGGACAGATGACGACTTATCGAATTGAAAGGCAAATTTAGATCTTCATCATCGGGAAAACTGGGCAAAAATCCTTTCCTTCTGTTAACATCATTTCTCTCTTACTCTCTTTTTCTCTCTATTTTATCTAAATACGATCTTGGCAGCTTTTCCGGAATTTTTTCCTCGTTCTGATTATAATGTTGGAGGAAAAAAGACAGAGAGAGAGAGAGAGAGATTAGTCTTCATAGCCGAGAGAAAACCTGTTCTCGCCGTTGCGCTAATGAATGTATATACAAGATTGGCGTTTATCGACAAATGTGCACTCGGCGATCAGCAGCGAACAGGAAGCGAATAGTGGGGATGATGGAGGGACCCCCCTGAGCACCGGAAACGACAGCCTTCATAGCTTATCGATCATCTCGTTAATAACGTCTCTGTAAAAGTCGAAACGTTCTCTTTTTACGCAGACCGTTACCGCTCCTTGTTGAAAACTTCATGAAACTGACGCATATCTTCGAGTCTTAAGTTTATGGCACTTTTTTTGCCTCTTTTTCCCTCTTTTTTTTGCCACCGCTCGTTAAAACGGGAGGATGTTTTGTAATTTCGTGCCTTTTCGATTCCTCTTCTTCTTCTTCTTCATAAAGTTCAAGAATCATTTTTACTTAATCTTATTCCTTCGGCGCATTTTTTTTTCCCTTCAGCATTATATTTGGGAATTAGAAACAATCCCAGTAGGCTTCGAAATTATCTACTGAAAAAATCTACTATCAGGCTTTGCACTCGATAATTAATTTTTAAAAAGTGAATCGAAAAGTATCTTTAAAACTAAAAAAAAAAATAAAATTATTTTTAATTTAATTATCGAAAAATTAAATGTGACGCCTAGAAAAATTCATTTTATAGTCAATACCCAAAATTTTTATTTGTCACTTTCTTTTTTTAATTTGCATCAAAAATATTTACTTTCTTTATTATCCTGATACAAAATTTTTCTAAAATTCAATTATTTTCCCAAATTTTAGGTTAGCAGGGCTCGAACCAGTGAAAGTATTTAAAAATACAGACTTTACGGACCAAAAATAAAAAATTACGGACCATTTACGTACCAATTACTGACAAAAATATATAAGAAAACATTTTACTTAAAACTATAAATTAGATTATTATTTTCAAGAATTTTTAACTAAAATTCTTCTTAAAATCGATTATTTTTAATAATTTTCGAAAAAGTTCTTTGACAATTTTCAAATCCATTTCTTTACAATATTTAATTTTACGAAATTTCAATTATTTGTAAATTCTTCAATTAAATATGTATTAGAAAATAAAAACTTCAAATATTATAAAAAAATCAGCAATTAAAATTTCTCAAAAAAATTAATTCCACAGAATTGTTAGTTAAAAATATAAAAAATTCAAATTTTCAAAGATTTGAATCTGAAACCTTGTCAAAATTTAATTATTTCTAAAACTTTACTCTCTAATACTTTTAATGTTCAATTATAATCTAAAATTTTAACTGAAATCCATTTTTAAATCAATTTTTATGAGAAAATTCTACGAGAATTTCATTATTTAAATAAAAAAAAACAATTTATTGAAAATTTATTGAATAATTACATATGTTTCTTAAAATTGAATTCTTTTAAAGAATTGTATCAATCAATTTTCAAATAATTTGAATACTTTTGCAAAATTTTATTAAAATAGTAGATATTAAAAATAATTAAATAAGGAAAAATTTATGAAAATAATTGAAATTTTGCCAAGAAATTTATTAAATTTTTTGAAAATAATTCAATTTTAGAGAAGAATTTTATTATTTATCAAGATAATTGATAATTTACGCAAAGAATTGCATTAAAAGTTTTGAATAGAATAATTTTATTCTTTAAAGAAATTTAATTAAAAATTTATTAAAAATAATATTTAAATTCTAATAAATAAATTGTAGCAAAGGTTATTAAAATAATTAAATTTCTTTGATAAATTTTAATAAAATTTTTAAGAATAATTACATTTTTCCAGGAATTTGATTAAAATTGTATTAAAAATAATGGAAATTCTGCAATTAGCTTTATTATTTATCAAAATAATTGGATTCCTAATAAGAATTTTATTATTTGCCAAAAAAATTAAATACCTGTAAAAATTTTATTATTTATGAAAATAATTGAATATTGCGAAGAAATTTATAAAAAAAATTTGTAAATAATTAAATTCCTGTAAAATTTTTATTTTTTGAAAATAATTAAAGGTTTTTGTAGAATTTTATTAGATTTTTTTTTTTAATAATTGAATTCTTTTGGAAAATTTTATTAGAATAGTATAGATACCTATTAAAAATCATTGAATCAAGAAAGAATTTTAAAAATAATTGATATTTCGGAGAAGAATTTAATTATTTGTGAAAATAATTTAAATTTTGATGAGAATTTAAAAAACTTTTTGAACATAATTGAATTTTTAAGAAGAATTTTATTACTTTTGAAAATAATTGAATTCCTTCAATCATTTGTAATTTCTCTAAAATTATCCAAATTATATTTTATAATTTACGTACTTTACGGACCTTTTTCAATCGAATTACGAACTTTACGGAGCTTTTTTCAAAAAAATGGACTTTTACGGACTTCAAGCAAAGTTACGGACTTTTACGGGATTTACGGACCTAGTTCGAGCCCTGCGGTTAGAATAATTTTAAAATAATTTTTCTTTTCAAATTTTTAAATTAATGTATTGAAAATCATTGAATTCTTGCAAAGAATTTTATCAAAAAAGTTGATTAATTGAATTCTTCTGAAGAATTTTATTAAAAATTTTTTAAAATCCTAATAAAAATTAAGTCTTTTTAAAAATATTATATATTTTTTAAATATTATATAATAAAAGTCTTTTTTTTAATATTGGACTTTCTTCAATAATTTTTAATGAAAATTTTAAAAAAATAATTGAATTTTATGAATTTTAATAAATTTTTTGTGAATAATTACATTTTTCGAGGAATTCGATTAAATTAGCATTAAAAATAATTGAAATTCTGCGAGCAATTTTTAAAATTTATAAACAAAATTGTATTCTTGAAACGAATTTTATTGAAAGTTTTTAAAAATAATTGAAATCCAGAGAAGAATTGAAGAATTCCTAAATAATAATTTAGGAAAATAATTGAACTCTTACAGCGAATTTAATAAAATTTTTTAAAAATAATTGAATTTCTGTGAAGAATTTTATTATTTTTGAAGATAATTGAATTTCTGTGAAGAATTTTATTATTTTTGAAAATAATTGATATCTTGTATCGAGTTTAATTAAAAGTTTTTTAAATAATTGAATTCTTGAGAAAAATTTGTATTCTTTATGAAAATAATTGAAATCTTGCAGCAAATTTAATAAATTTTTTAAAAAATTTTTTTAATAATTTTTTTAATAATTTTTTTTTTGAGAATTTGCACTACTTTACTAATTAAACTTTTAAAACATTTAAAAATTGTCTCCTCTAAAAACTAGTTTGAACACTTTTTGTCAATTAATTCACGAGTGCAAAGCCTGAAAACATTATTAAATAAAAAAAAAAAAATGAAGATGGTTTCCTGTTTACCAGAAAGATGTGAAATGTGACAAAGACAAACTGACAACGACTCGGCATAGTATCCACAGAGAAGTGTGAAATAGAAAATTGGCCTCTCTCGCTTTTCCTCATATAAGCGAGAAACGTCCAATTATAATGCGGTAATTCTAGGAAATCGTTATCGTTTAAACGTATGCATATGATATTCACTCGCTAAATGTATAGGATGTGTTAAAAATTAAAATTGTGAATGCAAATATATATAAATTTATAAATATGTGCGTGAGATTTAAATACCAATGCAATAGAAACGACGCGATATCGAGCCGTTACTTTCCCGCGAAATCGTTTCGCAAAGTCTCAACCACTTCCGTTGCGGCTGGCCTTCACTTCCGCTCTCTCGCACTCAACTCAACACAAAAATTTCTTAGAAAATAATTATATTCCATGGCGAGGACAGTAAAATGACAATTTAACCTCTCTCATTGGAATAATAAAACAAAAAGAAATTTAATTTCCTCTTTCCTTTATTTCCAGACGGAATTTTTACTTATTCTCTGATAGCGATTCAAAACTGCAATTCTGATTTTTCGTAAATTTCTTCAAATTTTCGAATATTTTAAAACATTTTTTTCAATATTCAATTATTTTGGAAACAATTTTACTAAATTACAAGCTTCGTTCTCATACGAATAAATAAATATTTATATTTATTTTTCCAAATGAATTCAATTATTTAAAAAAAAAATTTTAATAAAATTTGTCCCAAGAATTCAATTATTTTCGAATTAATAATAAAATTTTCACCTGAATTCAATTATTTAAAATATAGTTTTGATCAAATTATTTTAAAATTCTCCTTATAGGAATTCAATTATCTTTATTCTCAAAAATTTTAAACAAATTCTTGGCAAAATTTCAATTAATTTCAAAAATTTACCTTAATTCAATTATTTTCAATACAATTTTAATCGAATTCCTCGAAAAATGTAATTATATGCTTAAAACTTGTATTAAAATTCATCGAAAGAATTAAATTATTTAAAAATTCGTTTCTAAAATTCTTCATGAAAATACAATTTTAAGAAACATTCAATTATTCAATAAATTATTTTTTTTTTAAATAGAAATACCTGACATTATTTTAATCGATTTAATTATTTTGAAAACTTTTATATAAAAAATGTTTCCCTAGAATTCAATTATTTTTCAAAATAACAAAATATTTCGTATAAATTCAATTATTTTAAAAAAGTTCAATAAAATATTTCAAAAGAATTCAATTATTTCTAGAAATTTCAATAAAATTTTTTTATTTAAATATTTTTGTAAATAATAAAATTCATAGCAAGATATCAATTTTTTTTAAATAACATTTTCCAAAAGAATTGAATTATTTCAAAAAAATTTTAATAAAATTTGTCTCAAGAATTCGATTATCTTCAAAAATAACAAAATGTATCTTAAGAATTGAATTCGTTTCAAGAATTTTCATAAAATTCTTTGCAAAATTCAATTACTTTCATAAATTTTAATCAAATTCTTTAAAAAAATTCAATTATTTCAAAAAAATTTTAATAAAATTTGTCTCAAGAATTCAATTATCTTCAAAAATAACAAAATGTATCTTAAGAATTGAATTCGTTTCAAGAATTTTCATAAAATTCTTTGCAAAATTCAATTACTTTCATGAATTTTAATAAAATTCTTTAAAAAATTCAATAATTTTCGAAATGAAAAAAAAATTCTGGCCAAGAATTCAATTATCTTTATAAAGATGAAAATTCTTCGCCGAAATTAAATTTTTTTTCAAGAATTATGATAAAATTCTGTACAAAATTCAATTATTTTCAGAAATTTTAATAAAATTCTTTGTAAAATCAATTATTTTTATAACTAACAATATTCATCACGTGAATTTCAATATTTTTATAAATTTAATAACATTCCTCGCTGAAATTCAATTATTTTCAAATTCTTTTTTAAATTCTCATCAAGAGTTCAATTATTTTTAAAAATATAGAAAAATTCTTCTCCAAAATTCAATTATTTTCAAACATTTTAATAAAATTCTTGTCAAAATTTCAATTATTTTCAAAATATTTTCTCTACTTAATTATTTTCAATATTTACTATTTTAATAAAATTTCCCAAAAGAATTCAATTATTTCAAAAAATTTTTTAATAACATTCATCGAATCAAGAATTTAATTATTTTCATAAATTATAAAACTCTTCGGAAAAATTCAATTATTTTCAATATAATTTGAATAAAATTTCTTGATGTAATTTAAATGTTTTTAAAAAGTTAAACAAAATTTGTTGATTCACTTTTTTTTTAAATTGTGATAAACTCTTTGGAATTCAATTTTAAAAAATATTCAATTATTCAATAAATTATTTACTTTTGCATTTAAATTTTAAATAATTGAATTTTGGTAGAATTATTTATGAAAATAATTGAATTTTCACAAAGTTTATTAAACTTTTTAAAAAAATTATAGTTAAATAGTATTTGAAAATAATTGAATTGTTTCGATGAATTTATTAAAATTTTAGAAAATAATTGAATTCTATTGGAAAATTTCATAACGAATTAAGAAAAGAATGGAATTCTTTCCTTAAATTTGATTGAAAATAATTGAATATTTGCAAAGATTTAACTACCTATTTAAAAAAATAATTGAATTGTTTCGAAGAATTTATGAGAATTTTTGAAAATAATTGAAATTTTTTGTGAAATTTTATTAAAATTTTGTTGAAAATAATTGTATTTTTTCAAAAAATTTTACAAACTTGTGAAAGTAATTGAATTCTTCTGAAGAATATTATTATTTATGAAAATAATGGAATTTTTACTAATTTTTTTAAAAACTTTTTGGAATAATTAAATTATTGTTATTCTCATTATAAGGAAATTAATTTAATTTTTCAGTTTCTCTTCAAGACGAGGGATCCAATCGTCGCTGGAGTGATGGTGGAGGCTGGAATTCTCAAACCGGGAACTCCTGTTTGTGTACCCAGTAAAGAAGTGAGTAGATATTTTTTTCTCAATCATCATAGAATATATATTGAATTTAAAGAAATTCAAATTGAATGGACGTTTATTTTTTTTTCTTTTTTTTTATTATAATTAACGTTTGCCCATATACTTATTTCTTATATGTATATATACTATTTAAACAAGCGTGTTGCGGTATGAAATTTCTCGCGCGCTAACACACTTTATTTATATGTACGCCACATGGCGAGCATTCCTCTACGTTCTTTAAGGAGCGTCGACCCAGACGTAACCACCTACACAATTCGATTGCCAAGACTTATCGACGATTCCATATGACGAAAGAGATTGTACCGATAAACCTCGTTTCCTTATGTGAATCTCGAGAAGTTTAATTTCTTTTTCGCCCTCTCACTCACTCACTCACTCACTCTCTTCGAAAAAAAAATTCCCAGTTTTGTATATTATTAATTCATTTATTCAAATTTCAATACCTGTGGAGTGTTAAATTTCGTATGAAAAGTAGTTTTTGCTCTTCTTCTCTTTTTTTTGCTTCTTCTTTTTCTTTCTTTGCTTTTTTCCTAAAAAAATGGTGTTTTGGGTCCTCTATATTTTTACCAGCAAATTAAAACCGAATTTCTTAGAATTTTGAAACAAAATTCAATTAATTTACAAACTCAAAACGTTTTAATAGAAAATTTGGGAAAAAAATAAATAAATAAAAAAATTTGAAACAAAATTCAATTAATTTACAAACTCAAAACGTTTTAATAGAAAATTTGGGAAAAAAATAAATAAAAAAAAAAATTTGAAACAAAATTCGATTAATTTACAAACTCAAAACGTTTTAATAGAAAATTTGTGAAAAAAATAAATAAATAAAAAAATTTGAAACAAAATTCAATTAATTTACAAACTTAAAACGTTTAAATAGAAAATTTGTCAAAAAAAATTTTTTTTTTTAATTTAAAGAAATAAATAAAATTTAAAAAAATAAAAAAAAAGAGAGAAAACTTAATAAACGTAAACAAGTCGAGTGGTTTAAAAATCGTTTGGCATCGAGTGTAGGTGAACCTGTTCAATGTCCACTGCGATTCAATTGGTCGATCTCTGGATGCGGACAGACTTCTCGTAGGAGTTTCAAGTTTTTCTTCACCTTACGCAGCATACGCATTATTCCGAACCACCATAACTGTCCCGTAGGCGTCAACTTTTACCACCATGCGCTAAAATTGCCAATAAAGATCCATCTCCTTTCTCTGATACTATTATCACTCCCACTGAAAGCAAAAAAAAGGGAAAAAAAATTACTTGAATTTGGATCTCAAGGAACCAGATTTTGCACTTCTCTACTAAAACCTACTATTTACTACTTTTTTTTACGATTAAGTATCTTTTAGTGTCACAAATTTAAAAAAAGTATTCAAATTACTATTTGAAAAAAATTTTTTTCTTTTCTTTTAACTATTAGCGAGTTTGATAAGTGGTGCAAATTTAAAAAAAAAAAAAAAAAAGTATTTTTTAGTGTCAAAAATTTAAAAAATACCTTTTTCACTCTTTTTTAAATTTGCACTACTTTAAATTCGACAAATAGTTGAAATAAAAAAAAATTATTCTGAATGATTTGAATAAAATTCTTCTCAGAGAGAGATGAACAAATTTTTATAAAATTCTTTGAAACAATTCCATTTTTGAAAAATCTTTGTCAAGAATTCAATTATTTTCCGCACAAATTTAATGAAATTCTTCGTTGAAACTAAAAATATTTTGTATAAAATGTTTCAAAAGAATTCAGTTATTTAAACAAGTTTTTATAGAATAGTAAAAATTTTTCACGGAAATTAAAAATATTTTTAAAAAAAATTTTAATAAAATTCTTTGGAAGAATTTTATTATTTTTATATATATAATAAAATTCTTCTGAGGAATTCAATTACTTAAAAAAATTTTCATAAAATTTTTTGCAATGAATTTAACTATTTTCGTTAATAATAAAATTTTCAAAAGAATTCAATTATTTAAAATACATGTTTTAATCAAATTCTTCACAAGAATTCAATTATTTTTAAAATCTTTAACAAAATTCTTTATAAAAATTCAATTATTTTCATTATTAATAAAATTCTTGACAGGAATTACTTTCCTTTCAATACAATTTGAAAAAAAATTCAATTATTTCTGGAAATTTTTATAAAATTCTACAAAGGAATTAAATTATTTAAAAAAAAAATTCATAAAGTTCTTCTTAAAAATTCAATTAATATCATAAATAACAAAATTTTCATAAAGAATTTATTATTTGAAAGTACATATATTTTTAAAGGAAAAATTTTCAAAAATAAATTAATTGTTTGAAATATTTAAAAAAAAATTCTTTGTTTATAAGAAATAAAAAAAAATAAAATTCATCAGAGGGTTTCAACTATTTTTTATAAAATTTTAAATAAATTTCTCGAAAAATGGAATTATTTTCAAAAATTTTATTAAAATTCTTCAAAAAAAAAAAAAAATCAATTATTTTCAACGAAATTTGAATAAAATATCACGAAAAAATTCCATTTTTTTAATAAAATTTTAATAAATCCTTCGAAACAATTGAATTATTTTTTAAAATTTTAATAAATCCTTGGAAAAAATTCAATTATTTTTTAAAATAGTAAAATCTTTGCTAAAATTCAATTATTTTCAATAAAATTTAAGGAAATAATTCAATTCTATTCTTAATTCGTTAGAAAATTTTCCAGTAGAATTCAATTTTATTTTAAAAAATTTTAATAAATACTTTGAAACAATTCAATTATTTTCAATATCTATCTGTTTTAATATAATTTTACAAAAGAATTTAATTATTTAATATTCTTCATGATTATTCAATTTTGAGAAATAATAAATTATTCGGTCAATTTTTTATTTGCATTTTATTTGTATTTAAATAATTGAATTCTCGTAAAACTTTCCAAATAAGAATTAATTTAAAAATGAACATCCTTCCAAGAGACCCAAAATCAATCGATAAATTTAGTTCATAATCTTTTGCAACAGGAGAACAGAAATTTGTAGAAATTTCAGTAACATTTGTAGTTGGGTAAAGTTTGTACAAAATTTAATATTTAGCTTGAGGTTTAAAAATATGGTCACTCATTAAAATCAGTGTCCGAAAGAAGAAAAAGAAGAAAAAGAAGAAAAAGAAGAAAAAGAAGAAGAGGAGGAGGGAAATTGGTGGACCAATAAGTGAGAGGAAAGGGAATTTCGAAAAAGGAAGTCGACATCCTTTCATGGCTATCCCGTTAGTACTTTCCTTAAGCTCGTTATCTGGATCCGAGAATAACTCACTCGAAACCCATTGACTCGAGAACTCGAGCGGTAGCGAGTGAGCCACTCAATGAGACCAAAACCCTCGAAATCCCATTCATACCGGAATCTGTCGACCGCTTTTATTTGTCGGCTACATCCGCTCGACCTCGTACGATTGGATCAATCATTCGACAAGGACGAGCCTCCAATCAGAAATAACGATATACGTAGGAGTTGACGATGACGATAATAATAGAGATTTAGTCCAACTGATAAGAGAGACGCTTCAATCCGATAGCTAATATTCATAATTCACAAATCTCTTGTGTGTGCTGAATATTTCAAATTTCCTTCTCTTCTTCATTTCCTGTAGAGCAGACGGAAATTTCCTTTCTCGCAAAGTTCACTTCTAGCAGTGAATTTGAATTTAGTATTTTTGATGGGACACCCCAAACGGAATTTTCATCATTGACAGAATGAAAAATGTTGCGTCAAAGGAAACATTTCCCAACTCTTGTTTTACTTTTGACATTTTATGATTACGAGAGAGGTGATAATTTCGCAAAAGCGTAAGAGTTATCTTTGTCTCAGTTTCTTATGGTCTTGATTATTTATCGTTTGTATCGCATTACAAATTCTAAGTATGACTAGGAGTGCGCGCGACTTTCTAGGTGTACAATGAGCGTCTCGCCTTTCGCAATTACGTCTTGTCGTGTGCATTACCGAACCGGGGACAATAGGTGTATTAATATCGATTCCGGATCCTTAAACACTGCCAGAAAGAATGTCGAAATTATTTCCGCCTGTTTCACGCTTGAACATGACAAATTTCTCCCGTTTGATTCACATTATTCGCAATTGTTATTTCTATTTTTGATCCAAATTAATCTCCAAAGAAATCTGTAAAGTAAGACCCAAATTAATGCTAATGAATCTGTTAGTTAATCCGAATTTAATCTGTAAATTAATCTCCGAACTACTCCGAATTAATCTGTAAATTAATCTTCTAACTACTCCGAACTAATCTTTAAACTAAACTCCAAAATAACCCGAATGAATCTCGAAACAAATCCCCAAAGAAATCGAACAATAATCTGTAAATTAATCTGCGAACTAATCCGAATGAATCTGCAAAGAAATCTGTAAATTAATTGATACTAAAAAGACCAGAAATCAAGATTTTGTCAGTTATGATCCAAATTTTACGGAGTAACATCATTATCATTATTATTCATGAATCAACAAAATTGTTGTTACCATTTTTGATCGTATCCAGTAAAGAATTATGAAAAGTTCCAGCTAGCACCACAACAAACAATGAATCCTTAAAGTAGTCCAAATTAATCTGCACATCTTCCAAAAATTTCGTAATGAATCACAAAGTACTGATAAGTAGAGCATCAGTAGCACAAGTATCTTTTAAAAATTCCGAAATGATTCACTAAGTAGTGATAAATATTGTACATCTTCCAAAAATTTGTTAATGAATCACAAAACAGTGATAAGTAGAGCATCAGTAGCATAATTCCGAAATGATTCACCAATGATGATAAATATTGTACATCTTCCAAAAAATTAGATAATGAATCACAAAGTACTAATAAGTGGAGCATCAGTAGCACAACAATCTTTTAAAAATTCCGTAATAATTGTAGTAATAATTTGAATCTGTATGATAACTATCTGTATGATAACTTCAACATTTTCTTGTTTCGCACATTTTGGTGCATGGATGA